AAAAGTCTTCTGTCAGATAATCAGCGGTACACAAAGGTAAGAAGTTTTTTTTTTCTTAGTCTACTGATTGTTTGTCCATCTACACATTTCAATGTTGTTCAGAAGAATGAAAAAGCCACATCAGCAAAAAACATGTTGGTCAAGTGTAATGTTACACTATTAACATAATCCGCACACAATGTGAGCGTCTGTTCACTCGAGTAACAGCAGCACAACATTATTTCCATATCTTAAATAAATACTGTTTAGTAAAATGGGATCTTTGAATATTTACCAAAAGCCTCCTCAAACCCTTGTGCACAGCAAGGCTTTTCAAAGGAAGAGTTCATACATGATCTGGGATTCTTCCCTTTTTTTTCTGGTCCTCCAATTTCCTAATCTAGTAAGGGCAGGAGTGCAGACGCTCTGCCTCCAGCGTTTTCCCCCCTCTCCCATTTTTCATTTTTATTTAAATATAGGCTTCACTCCTCCTGCAGCAGCTGGTCTTACAGTTTTCCCACAGCTGGGATAAAGTATGTGGCCAGTGCTTTAATTCAGAGTAGCCACACATTAGGTGTTCATGCGCTCTATACTCCTCTTTTCCTATCTCCTTTTATTATCAAATTTAATATCTGCCATTAAACTAGAATTTTTTTTTGCAAACATTTGGAAAAAGGTCCAAAATGACACTACATTCGTCTTTGGCTAGCTTTAAGCATCATGAAAGCACTGATTAGGAATTTTGTCTGCAGTCGATGAGGCAGAAATCAATGCAATTGATGCATGCAGCATGCGACCCCATGACCCTGAGCTCTGTGCTGTGTCTCTTTGCGTTTCATGTGTAATTGAGCGTGTCAAAGGCTTATTCCACCAGTTTATTCATGGCTATTCATCACCTGCCTTATGTACACTGTGACTGAATCTTGATTATTATTAAAATAATTGTTTTTGTGAATCTAAAATGATAAAAATGATTTTATTAAGCACCTTGTATGACACTCTTAACCCAAACATTATAATAAAGTTGAAATCCATTGTCTTAAACCCCTTTTTTTTTTAAAAGAGTGGAACTAAACATGTTTCATGAAGATGAATTAACCTCCTAAACTTTGCGTACCCACTACCATGACGTCATTTACCTTTAGCATTCTTTACATTTTAAAGGTCCATACTGGCCCAATACCCAATAAGTGGTTCCGTTCTATCACCAGTTGGAATAGAATAACTTCTGCATAGATTATAATAGAGACATTTTTCTTTTTTTCCTATGATTACTGACATGTGCTAAAAAATGCACTGTCAAAATTTAATCATTCATTCATTCCTTCATTCATTCATTTCCTTTTCGGATTAGTCTCTTTATTAATCTGGGGTTGCCACAGCGGAATAATCCGCCAATTTATCCAGCATATGTTTTACACAGCAGATGTCCTTCTAGCCCCAACCCATGACTGGGAAACATCCATACACACACTCATACACTACAGTCAATTTTAGCATACCCAATTCACCTGTACCGCATGTCTTTGGACATGTGGGGGAAACCGGAGCACCCAGTGGAAACCCACGCGAGCACGGGGAAAACATGCAAACTCCACACAGAAATGCCAACTGACCCAGCCGAGGCTCGAACCAGCAACATTCTTGCTGTAAGGTGAACGTGTTACCCACTGCGCCACCGCGTCGCCCTTTTTTTTTTTCAAATTTGAGTTTACAAAAAATGTTGCCTCTTTCTTCGAGGGGTTTATTATAACACAGACAACATATTCAATTATTTTAATCACTTTCAACTGTTTTTATGAAAATTCAATGGGTTTTCTTCAAAATTATACCAAAACGTTTGCATTTACACCTCTGCATGTGGATTTGGGAAGCTTTTGAATTTGGGTAGGCAAAATCCAGGTGGAAACCCCAATACACCACTTGACTTATAGAGTCTTATGGACAGTTTACGCAAAAATGAAGATTCTGTCATCATTTACTCTCCCTTTACTTGTTCCAAACCTGTTTGACTTGGAATTATATTTTAAAGAAAGCTGGAAACTTGCAATCATTGACTATTTGTTCTTTTCTACCATGGAAGTGAATAATTAGGTTTTCAGCTTTCTTTAAAATATCTTCTTTTGTGTTCAACAAAAGAAAGAAACGCATAATCACTTGAGGGTGTGTAAATGGTGAGCAAATGTTCATTTTTGGGTATAAACTAGCTTGAACTTGGGCTGTTTAGTTTCACCTTTTTGTAAAAGCATGAATGGTTTAAGGCAATAGGTTTCCACACAATTTTCTTAAGTCAAATATTTTGGTGTATGTTTATATATGTATACAATACGTGTACAATATACAGTTGAAGTCAGAATTATTAACTCACCTTTGAATTATTTTTCTTTTTTAAATATTTCCCAAATGATGTTTAAAAGAGCAAGCAAATTTTCACAGTATGTCTGATAGTATTTTTTTTCTGGAAAAAGTCTTTTTTTTCATTCGACTAGAATAAAAGCAGTTTTTTAATTTTTTAAACACCATTTTAAGGACAAAATTATTAGCCCATTTAAGCTATATATTTTTTCGATAGTCTACAGAACAAACTATCGTTATACAATAACTTGCCTAATTATCCTAGTTAAGCCTTTAAAAATCACTTTAAGTTTTATAGAAGTGTCTTAAAAAATATATAGTCTAATATTATTTACTGTCATCATGGCAAAGATAAAATAAATCACTTATTAGAGATAAGTTATTAAAACTATTATGCTTAGAAATGTGTTGAAAATATCTTTCCGTAAAACAGAAATTAGGGAAAAAAATAAACCGTTGGGCTAGTAATTCAGGGGGCTAATAATTCTGACTTCAACTGTATGTCAGTCTATTAAAAAAAGAGAAACAAAAGCATCTGCAACCATAGTATGTACCTCTATGAATTTATAGGCAATAGGGTGCAACAGATGACTTTGCTAAGCTAACACAATACAAAATGGTAGCGCTACCATAGTTTAATAATCTAATTACCTAATACCATAATAACCTAGACAAACACATACACATTGCAAAAGCTATCACAGATCTTCTGGAATTTAAAACCTAGGTGGTCTTTACAATGTTGTGACTTCTTAGAAAAGTCATTACATCACATGCCTCAGCCATAATATCACCCTGCAGCCCAAGACAGATTACTCACTGAAGCTAAGCAGGGCTTAGCCTGTGAGTCCCAATGCCCCAGTATAGTGAAGGGGACACTATTCTGTCTTTCGCCGTCTTTCAGATGAGACGTTAAACCGAGGTCTTGAATCTCTGTGGTCATTAAAAATACCACTGCACTTTTTGTAAAGACTAGGTGTGTAATCCCTGGCCAAATACCCTCCATAGGCCTTTACTAATCATGGCTTCCCGTTCCCAATCATCCCCATGCACTGAATTGGCCCTATCACTGTCTCTCCACTCCACCAATAGCTAGCGTGTGGTGAGCGCACTGGCGCCATTGTCCTGTGGCTTTCGTCACATCATCCAAGTGGATGCTGCAACACTGGTGGTGGTGTGTTGACACCCCCTCTCATGGTTGTGAAGTGATTTGCGTGTATAGAATGCAGAAAGTGTAACCCAACTCTCTGTTTGTAGCAAAGAACAACTTCTATTCTATTCTATTCTATTCTATTCTATTCTATTCTATTCTATTCTATTCTATTCTATTCTTTTGACCTTATTCTAAACTGTGGAAGTGCGCCTGTTTTCGCGATTGTCTTAGAACTTCCGATTCGGTCGCCTATGGGAGAAACGACTAGGAATAATAAACGGCAGAAAACGGTCAAACTACTTGCTCTACAAACAAATGTTTGCATGACTATAGAGACTAAGCAGAATAATATAATAAGAAAATTTCAAATTGCAACATCAAGCAGCGTAATGAGCAGTTTTTTACGTCAATAAATGAATGGAAGTGAATGAGACCGGAAGTCTCAAGCCAAAAAGATTCAAATGGCAGTGCCCACTCGTCAGCGGAGAATAAGGTGAATTCTATTCTATTCTATTCTATTCTATTCTATTCTATTCTATTCTATTCTATTCTATTCTATTCTATTCTATTCTATTCTATTCTATTATCATCACAAGGACCAAGTCCTTGAAAATCATTACTAATATAAGACCAATTTATTTTTGAAAAATGGAAAAAATGTTTATGAAAAATGAAAAACTGTTTATTATGTCTTATCGACGTTATCATGATAAATTATTTTTTTGTACAAATTACTACTACATACTTATCGATACATACTGTTGACTTACACTGCAACTGCTACATGCTAACTTGTCATGTGAGTTTTAGTAGACTGTCTACTTATATATGTGTTCATATTTTATTTAAACAAAATTGTATTATTCTACTAACCTCATAGTGTGCTAATAGTCCCAGAGCTACTTCTGCAGTCAACAGAATATTGTCAGTGGACCATCAAAACAAAGTGTAATTTTAATTATGAATCAGGCCTTGAGAGTTTACCATTTAGCTATCTTGTTTTTCAAGGTTGAAATATGATCACTACTCAGCAGGTTTTTGGGTGGTTTATGTTTATCGTCTGATGGCGGTTATGAGATGAATCATTACTGGCTGAGCTTTGGTTGATCTGAGCCTTACTTCCTTCCTTTCTGTTGCTTTGCATGACTGCAGAACAGCAACAGTAGGCCTGTCATTTGCTGGCAGGCTTTCCTTATCTAAGCACCGGAGTCTGGCAATCTGATTGGCGAAGCGCTTGCACCTTCTGTGCTGGATTTACGTGAAGCATTTGGTTTGTCATATAAGAGCCTGTCGTTTGACTCTAAACTTGAACATGAAAATTGATGCTAAAACCCAGCAGTTTCTTATGTTTTCTGCTGTTGTGTTGCAAATCCAACTGTTTTATGTTACTGTTTTATATCTATCTATCTATCTATCTATCTATCTATCTATCTATCTATCTATCTATCTATCTATCTATCTATCTATCTATCTATCTATCTATCCATCCATCCATCCATCCATCCATCCATCCATCCATCCATCCATCCATCCATCCGTCTAGTTTAGCACACAACAAACTGTAAATTTGAGAGCTAAAGTTATGTAAATTATTTTCTTTGAAGAAGAAATTACAAACTTATGAATGTTCATTTTTTGACTATAAACTGAGTGCTTCACATGGACCAGGAGCCCCTCCTACACAGCATGAACCAACCAGATCTACTTGTGTTAAAGCCTAGGTGGCACTGGTGTGCAGTCCAGACCTATAAAGCTGCAGAGCTCACAGATGATTTCTCACATTCTGCCTTTACAGGAAGAGCCTTTACTGTACAAGTTATGGAAGTGGAATCACACTACATCATTTACAGTTTTCAGCTGTTTGTGTCATGGTAAGTTAACTTTTTGCTGCAGATTTTATATCTAAAATAATACCATATCTAATTAAAATTTTGTGCTGACATAAAAAAGATACACATGTTTGTGACATGTTTGTTGTTATCCAGTATAACATGTGGCATATATCTGTGTTTATACTAAATTCAGATGAATGTACCTAATGTATTAAAAAGTACTGTTTGACAGGACTCGTATAAAGAGGTCTCTATTTAATAATTGATAGTTTTAACTTGAGAATATTGTTTAAAATGTTCTCATTTTAAATGTATTGAATGGAGGAAAACAAACAATGACATCTGATTCTGACTGAAACTAAAACTTGATTTAATATTGTATTGTTTCATAGCTTGTATCAAAACCTAAAATGAACAGCTGTTTAAAAAAATTTATTAAACTGATAAATATGTCTAAGTATTAGAATCACAACATTTCTCCATACAATTTGATGAATTCACAATTGTTCACTGTCTTAACTTAGTGTGATATGCTCTTTTTATTCAGATTATATAAAATGTGCAGCTGTTTATTATACTTTTTTCACCGGATGTAAAAACTATTAAAATGCCTTTTTTGTGATTATGTATAACATATAAAAATAAAGGAATGGAGTTATTATATAAATAAAAAATAATAATAAGCTTTCACAATCTGTCTAATTGTTTGGAAATGCCAACCAAAAATGTGTGTCTGTTTTCCATGACTTATTTTCTCTGTCTCAGCATACACACCATGCGTTGCTGAGTCTTATGTATTCCGAGTCTTTCACTCACCTTATAATAGACGTTCTCTGAGAGCATTGGCAATAGGCCAGAACAATATTCACACAGACATGCACACACACACATGCATACACAGACACACATATATATATATATATCATTTCTGACGCTCTATGAAGCAGCTGAAATTCAATCAAGAAAATAAAATGATTATACAACCTTTAATACAAACTAATAGAACAATGTATATTTATTTATGCTGCATCTATTTAATGACCACCAAAAGACATTTGTCAGATAAATATTTGTTGTTAAAGTAAATATTTACTTTAACATCCTGTCCTATTTTAATGTTAATGTGATAACATTTAAATCACGTTGTTAGAGTTTTTAGATTAAATGTACTGTATGACTTACTAAGACCTTTCTAAGTCATGTTATTATTAAAATGTTGTTGTTTTTTTATATTACTCAAAAATGATTAAATATTGGGCGGCATGGTGCATGGTTTGAAGCACTCTTGCCTCACAGCAAGAAGGTTGCTGGTTGAAGTCAGTCCTGGCGTGGCCAGCTGGCATTTCTGTGTGGAGTTTGCATGTTCTCTCAGTGTTGGTGTGGGTTTCCTCCAGTTGCTCCAATTTTCCCCACAGTCCAAGGATATGCACTATAGATAAGTTGTATTAAAAATAACTAAAAATTGGCTATATTGTATGAGTGTGTGTGAATGTGAGAGTGTATGGTGTTTCCCAGTACTGTGTTAGGGTAGAAAGGGCATCCTCTGCGTAAAACGGAATAGTTCAGCTGTTCCCTGATAAATCAGATACTAAGCCAAAGGAAAATTAATGAATGAATGATTAAATATTACCAGTTACTACCACTTGTATGCTTCAAAATCTCTCAAAATCAGATCGTCAGTTTAGCGTAATTAGAATTCATATTTAACTAAACAACTAAAATGAGTTATAATGTGTTGAAAAAAAATCTTCTTTCCATTAAATAGGAATTGGGGAAAAAAAAACAGGGGGGCTAATAATTCTGACTTCAACTGTGTATTAAAAAATATTTCAAGCACAGTTTTTATCATGGGCTCAAACAAATAGGTGGTGGCTAGGTACATTGGCAAGTTAATAAATAAATAAATACTCAACATATATACATCAATATTTAATATTTGAAGCACAATTCCAAATGAATGTGTCTAAATAATTTAACTGATAGTCAGGTGACGCGATTTGCTTGTGAGATGCGTGTATAATTTATAAGGTAAATAAATGCATAAGGTAAATTTATAAAGTAAATAAATAAATAACATCTAACTGCTACTAACTAACCAAACAGACAAATCAAACATGCTGACTCATTCTCACTAAATAAAAGAAATTAATATCATTTTATTGGTCATCACTAAGGATGCTCCGATCAGGATTTTTGCAGCCAATACCGAGTACCAATTCCTTGTCATGGAGTTCGGCCGATACCAAGTACTGATTCTTATAATGCATAAAGCACATTTTCAGTTCAAGTATGATACTTAAGTGTAGGTCTCTCCTTACCTAAGCAAATTAATTAAAGATGTTGCATATAATTCCTTACATATCTCTTATAACCATTTAGCTTGGACAAATAATCGTCAGAAGCAGCTTTACAGAAACTAATAAATAAAACAGATTTAAAAAAAGAAAATCACTAACAAAGCTAGAATTGAATTGAACATGTCTCAAAGTTTGAAGCACATATTTGATGCATAAGAATTTGCACTCCTATAAGTTTATAACTACTTTACTTAAAGTAAATAGATCCATAAACTGCTGTTTATTGCAATACATATAATATAATAAGTTTTATTATGAAATACAAGTTAATATACATCCCTAATATTTTCAGCCAGGTTTATAAGAACTTTCTGTCCTCTGCTTCTAAACTCGTAAAAAACAATTGTGATCGGTTCCTGAGATCAACCAAGGGTGCTTTCCCAAAAAACAACGTAACTCGCAGCTGAACTAGTACGATAAATCGTTTTTGGAAAAGCACAATGTAGTGACGAGTGTCTCCCAAATCCCGTTGTTTCTCTGTCGCACATTCATCGTTTGAACCACGTTAGTTATAACGTAAAACGCCCATAATGATGCTCTAAATGTGGTGGAGTAACTACTTTAGAGAAGAACCCCATCATTTCTTTGTGCAAATTATATTGTTTTACACACACATGCATTTAAAAAAAAATCCAATATTAGAATTTGATAAAAACATTCACTTGTTTTCCATATTAATTGAAATAAGTAAATGGTACCTATAGGGCCTGTGTATCCAAATATTACTGAGAACATTACATATTCTATTCTAAAACTTAGAATATTCTAAAGCTAACACATATTCTAATATCATATATAAATCATATAAATAAAAAATAATGAGGCTATTTATTAAGAAAGGAAGTTTTATAATTATTATTTATTAATAAATGAAAAAAATCCGACTTTAATAGTAATATTAATAATGCTAATGATGATGATGATGATGATGATTATTATTAAGTAGAATATTGTTTATTTATTTTTTTGAAAAGTTTACTTTTACAATTTGACACATTAAAACCACAGCAGAAAAGTGCTAATCTACAGGCCCATGTCATGCACAGTACAGATATTTGATAAATAACCTACTATAAATTAAAAGCATTAACGTATGCTATGTTTTTTTTTTTTTTGTTTGTTTGATTGTTTTCACAAGCTTTGAAGACGTTACATAAACTCTGCTTTTGAATAATTGGTCACCTATAGCTTTCACCATGAGCCATGGCTGTGTTCAAATTAACATCAATGTTTTCAAAGTGCACTGCGAGGGGAGCACAATTGTAAACATTAAGATCGTTAAAACTGTACTGTAAAAATACTTTGAAAGCAAATTACACTGAAGAAGAGTGATGACTTTAATGCTTTTTTATTTTATAATTCCAATTTTGTCAGAACGTTTTAAATGAATAGGGCATAGGGAGGATAACTGGTAATAGAACACAGCCAGGAATTATGTTTCTAACTACAGCTCCAGAGGTGTATTTGCAAGCATATAATTTGTGATGCAGTTTGTGAATGTTCTTTGGAACGACGGATTTGGGAAAAGTTTAATCAACTTACTGTTTGTAACAACAGAACTTGCGACCTTAGTTGGCTAACGATGGTTTTTGGAGACGCATCACAGATTAGCGAGTACAGATTGAGTCATAAAATCTGATTATTGGCCGATACCGATCTCTGGCCGATTGAACAGAGCATAGTTATCACACTTGAAAACATCAGCATACAAATGTTTTATTAAAACCAGACAGACTACAGATAAATAGATAGACAGACAGCTAGCTAGCTAGACAGACAGACAGACAGATGATAAACTGACAAAACATACGAAAAACCTGTAGTCTAATGAAAAGCATATATTGTGTGTTGCTGATGAAACTGCAGCATGAGCTGAACTTCTGCTGTCTATAAACTCTGCTCGTCTGCTCAAGATTGAAGGAATCAGTAGTCAATCACTAGTTCACACTTGCTAGTAGAGAATATGTCTCTCAAGAGGGAACAAACAGGGCTCATGTTAGCAGGGGGCAACATGTGTGATGGTGTGTCTGAGCAGTGATGTGAAGTGATACTAACAGGGCTGTGCTCTCCTGACCCTGACAGCAGTGTGAGCAAACAGCAGACTGCACTTCACCTGAACCGCATGTGGCCACTCAGCTGGAATAAAGGAATAACTGCTGTGTGTGAGTGTGTGGGGTGGGGGGAGGAAGCAGTGAGGCTTACAAGGCATGAAGGCGCTCATAAGACTTTGAACATTATCTGCTCTCGCAAAGGGAATAATTTGGTACAAGCAAATAGCTGTAGAGTAAACCCCACAGACAAGTCTCCCGCCGAATTGCAAAATATTTAATATTTATGTTAGGGATGCACGATATACGGTTTCAGCATCGACATCGCAATGTGTGTGAAATAATCTGCAATGTTGAGTCTGGATTGTGGTCGATCAGCTCAGCAGTTCAGAACACATTTGTGGAATTATTTGTTTAACTGTAAAAAAAGAGAGAAGGTTTAAAATTTGCATGTGTTTTTAAGGCCTGTGTGAGCATTTAAAGCGAGTTTACAGCTTTAACAAACATTAATTGTATTTATCTATTATTAAAGCGAGGACTGTGCATCGTTATTTTATATTTGATTTCATTATTTATTTACCTCCACCATCACAAATCTATTCACAAAATATTTTCTATAGTATGCGTAAAACATTTTATTTGTGCATATTACATTAGATTAGTCAGTACTGAAGCCAAATCTGAAGCTAATCTAACAAAATAACTTACAGTAACAGTCTAAAAACTAGTAGCCCAAATTTATATGTTAGGGAAAAATATGAATCACAATAAACAAATAGCAAAAATCAAGAAAACAACAACAACAAAAATTGTAGTAATATTGCAGCTTCTAATTTTTTTTGCCACATTTTGCATGAATTTAAATGCATCATCTTTCTATTTCTCAAGAATAAAATATTATTTGTTTTGTTCAAATGCACCAAAATATATGACCCATATTCACTGAGAAATGGATAAAAATATAAATTTTTAAAATGGGGTGTACTCATTTATGCTGATAACTGTAATTGTCTATGCTTGTGATTTATTTTAATTTATGCAAACGCTGTATAATATCATTCCAACCAATCTAAAATGATAAATTCTTTCCAAATAGGCCTATTCAAGTCATCTGGTGAAATTGCCAATATGTTAGACATGTATCTCAAAAAAACTAAATATCACATCACCCTTGGTTTACAATATCAAAACAGGGATTAGCAGAATATATATATATATATATATATATATATATATATATATATATATATATATATATATATATATATATATATATATTTGAATAATTTTTCAGTCAAATTCCATGTGTGAGTAAATGTCAAGAAATTATGTTAATTAGCCACAATATAAAGATAATTAGATTTAAAATTCTGATTGCTCAACCAACTGCTTTAATTTAAATAGTCTTCTCATTTCAGTACTTTACATAAATGACTTTTATAACTTATGACCCCCCAAAGAACTTTGTAATATCCTTGACACATACATCACAAAGGTGTACATTTTTATGTATATTTTAAAGCAGGCTTAATGCAGAAATTAGAGGCATTTTGTGGCATGTTTAAAGTGAAACAGAATCCAAAACAAAATAAAAAATATAATACAGGACTTGATTTTGTCCACTGGTAAGCTGATTGGATGGAAGGTTGTGTTGTGCTATTGGTGGATCTGATGTGAGTCAGAGGTTTGTCACAACCTCATGTCTGTAAATGTGTAAAATAAGAAGAGATGTTGTTCAAGTGGGAAGAAAAGTTATTTTGATAACATAAAAAAATACAAGGACATATGAATAAAATATGATGTGCATGGATAAACCCAGCAATATTCCATAAAAATTGATTTCATGCTTACTTCAAAACCAAAAGCACTGGAAGTGTGCCAGCTTTTCATATGAATTACAAATCAGTGCATCCATCATCTGGTCTGTACACTCCAGCCATTTGTGTTTGCAATAGCTCAACAACATGGGTTGTGTGTCTATTAGCCTGTATTACATCATACTTTTCAATTTTCAGCACTAATGATGGTATGATAAAGCCCAGGAGGAGAATAGTGCTTGGAAACGGCAGTTGTTCAGTAGGGAAATGATGCCGACTGCTGCCACAGTAACCAATGCCAACAGCAAACAGCCCATTCTCTCAGCAGAATATGTGATCAGTTGATAAATTTGATATCTAATTTTACAAACATACATCACAAACTGTAAAGGATTGGAAGTCTGACAGAGCATGAAATAGATGCTTGTGAACAGAGTCATGCTTGAGGAGGAAGCCATGGAAACCAAGGTTGGCAAAATTCTGAAATTAACGATAGGTTGTTTTTCAGAACATGGCAGAATATGATAATTAATGAATATAAACATATTTATAGATATCTGTCAGGGGTTGATTTTATAGCAAGTATGCATGCAGTGTTCTCTATTTAAAGAAGCTAGTGTGCTCTGATAATATTAAGACAAATCAAGCAGGCAAAAGTATTTTGAAATAACAAGATGTCCATGAATTGTATTAATGACATACCTGCCAGAGTTTTTTCCTGAATTCAATTCAATTTCAATTCATCTTTATTTATATAGTGCTTTTACAATGTAGATTGTGTAAAAGCAGCTTAACATAGAACTTCAAGTAAACTAAAACCAATTCAGTCCAGTTAGTTTAGTTCACTTTAGTGTAGTGTAAATTTCACTACTGAAAGTCCTAACACTGAAGAACAAAACCAACGATGCACAGCTCCACAAGTCCCAAACCAAGCAAGCCAGTGTCAACAGTGGTCAGGAACAAACGTCACTTAAAAACTTGACCTAAATGAAGGAAAAAAAAAACCTTGAGAAAAACAGTCTGAGTTGAGCACAAAGTTCTCCAGTTCTCCTCTCGAATTAAATGTTTTTTCCTCCCATTTTATTATTTCTCCTAGAAAACTCACACAATTTGTATGGCCCAATTAAATTACAAAAAAATAACTTTTTGTCTATGTTTGTCAAGTTGCCAGTTCTTGTGTGAAGCTCATCACCTCAGAAAATGATTCACGAAATATTCAAATCTCAAAGCATTTTTACCTCAATATGACAACATATGTTACAAAACAGTTGATAGATGAAGGATTTGAATGGCAGTATTAGCAACATCAGTAGTAGTCAGTGGTGGAAAGAGTGCTGAACAATGCTAAAAATATACAAAAGTACCATCACTAGCCTAAAAATGTTGTGTAAGTAGAGTAAAAGAATCTGTTGAAAATATTTCTTTAAATATGAGTAAAAAGTAGCCCTTTTAAAACAAATAGTAAGTAGTGAGTATTAAGCTGTAAAAAGATGATACATTTACATGTACTTTGTGGATGTGTGTAAACGTAACATTCTGTAGCAGATTTGGTTATTGCTCAGCAGGCACACAACATCATAAGATGTTGACATTAGGTTTGATTTAGGTTGTGACGGCTACAGACCAAAATTCAATATAGCCAGCATCTAAGGACAAAGTTACTCTGATGTCCAATAACGACGGCAAATTACGTTGACATTTGGTTGATTTTAGATTGTGTTAGAAAGTCATAACCATTATGAATACAAAGCTAGCCACAGAATGAACCACAGATTTTACCACAAGTTACTGACAGAGACTGTCAGGTACAAATAATATACAGTATAATCACGATTATTTAGGTTATCCCAATGTCGTCTTCAGCCTGACAAAAGATGCTTTGTCCTGTCTAAATATTTCTAAACCTCTCTCTCATTTTTCTCTCTCATCTCCTCTGCTTCCACCCACCAGATCATTCAGCTCTAAATTTATCTTCAATTACCTCATCAGTGCTATTATAATAGGGCAGTTCTCTGCTCGTGAATCTCTGCAGCGTCGGGGGTCCCACCTGACCCTGTATGAGTGCTAAGGCCTGAGAATTGGATTACAGCTTATCCATATCAGCAGCTGTAGCTTCCTGACAAAGCCCGTGGGCCCCTGGGCACTTTTCAAGCAAGCCAGAATTCACCAAGGACACTCCTGACTGGAAAAAAGTGGAATGGCAGAGGAATATCTGGTGCCATAATCCTCTTACCCCTCGACACATTACTTGATGCTCTGACAAATGGACTTATTAACACTATACCAACAGATGCATAAGAAGTCAGAAATACTGTAAATCTCTAGAAGCAGTACCCAGCCACACAACAAGAGCGTCTGAGTTTATTTCCAGCCTGACAACAGAGCCTTTCTAAATCAGTGTGATCACAGCCTCACTGACAGGTTGTGACTAACTCATGCAGTGCCCCTAAATCAGACACACACACACACACACACACACACACACACACACACACACACACACACACACACACACACACACACTTAGACTTCACTGCATGATTTTATTCTTAGTCCAGATAATGAGGGCATTTTGGGTCAAAGCTGCAATACCAAAACAGGTCCACACTGTAACACCAACATTTAGAAATAACTGATGTGCTGGTTCTACTGGTCTTTTAAGGCAGTTCCTATTAGGCTTCTTTACCCCCTCTGGATCATAGCACTAGTGTAACACTCCAGTTTAACACCAAGGAATCTAAGTTGTCTTTTTTGGGATGTATGCCTGACAACAAGGACCCTTAAGGCCACTTTGCCTCTAGAGTGACTCTTGAGGCCAGTAGAGTGATGTTTACCCACACAGATGCTACACAACGCCATAAACCTCCACTCACACCCACATCATGGTACCATTGTAACCCCTTTTGGTTCAACTCTAACCACTTCAAGGAGTATTTAAGCTAGCATGGCAACCTTTACAATAACTCAGTAAACCATGCAGCCAAGTAGAGGTGCTTTTAAATGAAAATCTGTAATAAGAGTTCAATATGGAAATGAAATCAAATAACTGAAATAAAAGAGTAATATTTACCCATACAGATCTTACTAACTGGCCTCTGTTACACGACTCACACACACACACACACACACACACACACACACACACACACACACACACACACACACACACACACACACACAAAAACATTCACGTCCGGGTCATAGCACCATTGTTCTGTTTGTACTCGCACCAATCGAGAAGTGATTCAGTCTGGTGATTGCAGCATGGGAGCTGGGTGTACTAACAAAGGCACCAAGCACTGCAGCCTGTAGTGCACCTCTTGAGGTCAGGGGAGTGATGTTCACCCACACTGCTCCTTGATTATACTTTCCTAAACCTCGCTTTCATCCGGGTCATGGCACCAATATAACACCCCCAGTTCTATTCATATCTTTCCAAGTGGGAATCAAGCTGTCGTTTCCAGCATAAGAGGCAGGCAGAGTATTAATGATGCGAAAGGTCAGGGGAGTGATGATTACCCGCATGGTTTATACAAACTGGACGCTGTTACACTTCAAAACATTTGCCTTCAACAAACCTCACTCTCATCTGTGTCACGGCACCAACATAACACATCCAGCTGTACTTGCAACTCTTCATGAATTAGCTGAATTTTATTTCTGGTAATGAGAAGCAAATGTGGTAAAAGGATGTTAAAGTTTATCGTACACCTCTTATGGATGGAAGGAAGTGTAGATTACTTTAACATCTTCTATACAAATTTACATCTATTACACACTCACCTGCCTAATATTCACTCCAATCTGGGTCACGGCACCAATTTGTCAATTCTTACTTTTACATGGATTATTGTAGTATTTATTACAAGGTATACAGGAATAAGATATTGAAATTCAATACCTTTTAAGACATTTTTAAGACTCTTTGCATACATTTTAAGACCTCATCACCACTTTGTTTCAACCAGTAACATTGCAGACATTTTAACTTTCAGTACATTTACTAAATACTGATAGCAAGAAACGAATCCTAAACTAAAACTGTATTTATATACTGAATGAAAATGTCAATCCACCTTTACAACAGCAAAAATAATAGAGTTTTCCTGGTTACAGCAATAAACAAAGCAGCGTGATGTCAAATCTAGCAGGATTTGTTTGATTTCATAAACTACACAGCATCCCAATATTCAAAGATTAAATTGAGGCAAGGTTTAGCATAGTGATACAAAAAAACTAATACCTTGTAAAATAGCATTTAAGATTTTTAAATACTTCTTAATGGCCTTAAATTTCTCTAAATTGATTTATACATTTTTTATACTTTTTAAAACCCTGTTGACACCCTCTATTAGAAATTTATTTTGAATATTTTGAATCTCTCTTAGAATAAAATCTATTCTCTGATAATCCTATGTTTACTTGGCGGAGCAACCTGTCACTCACATGAGATCTACCCAATAGGAATCGCAAATAACTTGGCTTGACCACACTGTTAAAAAAAAGTTCTGTAGTATTTACAATTGTTTTGCCATGGAAACTATCCAAAATGTTAGACCGTGAGTGTATCAGTGGACTGTAGTGGATCAGGTCATTTTTATAGCCTGAGGTCATTCGTCCAGTCTGACATCACGCACACAGATGATGTAAGGCAGTGAGAGCCAGTTTCAGTGGGAGGGCTGCTCATTTGGAACAGATAAAGGTGCTTTGTTTTCTTCACTTCCTTCTCCCTGGTACATGACTAGAACATTGTTCCTGTGTTATAGTATTTGCTCATTTGAAGGGAAACTGAGTTGCCCTTTGTGGATCTGAGCTAACAGTCACATTTAGGAGAGGAGAAAGTGTATTTACCAACAACCAAAGATAAACGTCCATCAGCATTAGTAAATTAGAGAAATGGATACACTAAATATTGTGAAATGACTAAGTGAAACTCATCTGCAATAGAATTAATGCAGGTATAATGTAAAACAAACAAATGTTATACAGTACAAGGCAGGCGCCTTTAAATGATAATATTCTATATGTAAATGATTATGTGACTCTGAAGCCTGAAGTACGGCTGTTTCAAAATCAAATTGACCATTTCATTTTTCTTTTTTTAAATATTTCCCAAATTATGTTTAACAGAGCAAATACATTTTTACAGTATTTCCTATAACATTTTGTCTTCTGGAGACAGTCATATTTGTTTTATTTTGGCTAAAATAAAAGCAATTTTTAATTTTTTAAAAACTATTTTAAGGTCAAAATGATTAGCCCCTATATTTTTTCAATGGTCTACAGAACAAACCATCGTTATACAATAACTTGCCTAATTACCCTAATCTGTTTAGTTAACCTAATTAACAAATTAAAGCCTTTAAATGTCACTTTAAGCTGTATAGAAGTGTCTTGAAAAATATCTAGTCAAATATTATTTACTGTCATCATGGAAAAAAGTAAATAAATCAGTTATTTGAGATGAGTTATTAAAACTATTATGTTTAGAAATGTAAAATGTGTTAAAAAAAACTTCTCTCCATTAAACAGAAATTGGAAAAATTGGGAATTGGGACTTCAACTCTATTTAAATGTATAATATTTTACAACTTTATATTACTGCTTTTACTGTTAATATGATAACAGAAGGGCTGCACGGTGGCGCAGTGGGTAGCGTGTTCGCCTCACAGCAAGAAGGTTGCTGGTTTGAGCCTCGGCTGGGTCAGTTGATATTTCTCTGTGGAGTTTTTGCATGTTCTCCCCGCATTCGTGTGGGTTTCTTCGGGGTGCTCCGGTTTCCCCTTACAAGCCCAAAAACATGCGGTACAGGTGAATTGAGTAGGCTGAACTGTCTGTAGTGTATGTGTGTGAATGAGTGTGTATAGATGTTTCCCAGTGATGGGTTGCAACTGGAAGGTCATCCGCTGTGTAAAACATAATGCTGGATAAGTTGGTGGTTCATTCTGCTGTGGCGATCCCAGATTAATAAAGGGACTTAGCCGAAATGTAAATAAATGAATGAATGATAAAATAAGTGCAGTCTTGATAAGCATGAATGACCTCATTGAAAAACAAATGACAGCAGTGTATATTTGAGAAATAATTTCTGCAAAAGCTGTCCTGTTTTAGATAATCTAAATAACGCTGAAAATTTATTTTACGCTGTAAATGATGTTTACAGAACTTTATAGCCCTTACTGATGTGTAATACCTGCAAGATGCCTGTTGGCAGATCCTCTATCATAGAGATTTTTTTTAAACTATTAACAAATAAAATAAAACACTACATTTTGAACCAATGTTAATTTTGATGGAAAATTTTTATTTAGTTTTAGTCTTAGTCTTTTGTTTCCCAGAGATGGGCTGCAGCTGGAAGGGCATTCGCTGCGTAAGTAATGTGCTGGATTATTTGGCGGTTAACTTTGTTGTGGCAACCCCGGATTAATAAAAGGACTAAGCCGAAAATAAAAATGAAAATAAAAAAAATGAAATATAGCTTTTCCATTGAAGACCAAAAATTAGTTATGCATTGTTTATTTATATCATAAGTAATATGTAAAATTATGTGTCTGCAATCAATCCACATCATACTTTACTTTTCAAATGTGTGTGTGTATGTGTCATGAATCACACACCAAGATTCATTCAGATTGGATATTTTCCAAAAAAACATCCCTCAATCACATTTTTTGTCTCATTTTTATTAGTCAACTAAAATGTCAGTGTATTTTTATTATAGTTGTCGTCATCATAAATTTTTATTTAGTTTTCATCTCGTTTTCATCGGTAGAAACTTGTTTGTCACAAAAATGATGATGATTATTTTTTGTCAAGAAAATTAACAAATGGAAGACCTATTAAAAGTGAAAATATGATGGAAAAAAATATGAGATGCTTTTGTGTTCCAACTAGAAAGCTTGTGTTTTCCAAAAAAAAAAAAAAAAAAAAAAAAAAGCACCTAAAAACCCTGAAGTTTGATGCAAAATTTCTTGTTAGATTGCAAAACAGTACGCCTGCGATTTTCATTTTTTCTATCATCATGTGCTTTTAGGGCCTCAGACTAAATGCTATTATACAAGTACAATGCATAAAGAAATTAGAAACTAAATATTATTTTTTCACAATTTTACTAGTGGTACTTTTAGATACTACATTGAAACTAAAATCTCTTCACGAGGCACAATCCTGGTCCATAAAGTGCATCAAGCCAGGCCAGTTTCCCCACAGACTCATAACATCCTACCACTCAACCAAATGCATCAATATACTTAAGACTATCAGCAATCACCAGAAGAGCTCATCTGAAGGATACAGAGTCACATTAAATGTTGTACTGAGACTCACGTGCCTCCATTAGACCCATGCATTATGGGATCTAGGGAGTTAACATAAATTATGATTTCTTCTAAAAAAAAAAATAAAATAACATCCAGCAAGCTTCCAGCTAATGATTCATAATGGAGCATTTAACAACTCCAACCCATAATGTGGTTCCCTCACCAGTAGGTCATTTATAAGGTAAAACAAGTGTTTTAGTAGTGTGCAACACAGGCCAAGACATAACAGAACGAATGTGTGTCCCAGCGCTAAGCGAAAAATGTGCTAATCTTTGCCAGAGAAACGCAAGCCACCGATTATTGCAGAGAAGGAAAACACTCTGTTTTTGTAAAAGTGAAGAGGAGGGAAATAAGCATCCTTTAGATTTAGTGTTAAATTTCAATAAATCAGCAGCAGACCAAACATTGGCTACTTTGATGGTTTACACAATCCTCTGAACAGGTAAACCAGACGCAGAGAGGACTTACAAAAACAACTCACTTCCTAAAAGACAAATAAATAGTGAAGCAGAGGCATTTGACCCAGTGGCACAGACACTGAGAACTAGTTGGGTACAACAACAACAACAAAAAAAGATTTGGCTTAAAAAAAAAGACTTTTAACTCAAGTACTGCACCTGACTTGATTTAAGACAACTAAAAAAGCTCTGCAGTAAGCTGCCCCACAATTTTAAGATGTCAACTTTTGGGTTCCACGCACGCATGCATGCATTCAACTCTGAGAGAGTTCATTTAAACACTTTAAGGGTATATATGTA